GGCCTCGCTGTGCGGGCTGGGCGCCAGCCGCGCCGGGGGCCCGGGCTCGTCCTCGCCGTCCGCCGGCTCCATCCTGGGCACGCCTCGGCGCTCTGCGGAAACAACGCGGCTCCGGTCACTCTCTGCTCCCGCAACACCGACAAACGCTTCGGACACCGCTCTGCCTTCACGTTTGGGCTTTGGGCGGTTCCTTCGCACGAGAAATTCAGCTTTTGAATTATGGACGTTACCTACTGATTCCCCACAAATATTACGGGCTGGCAAAAATGTAGCCAGGGAACGGATGCAGAGGCAATTTACCGGAGAAGCGGGACGGTTTCCCCGCTCACACCGACACAAACATCACCCGGTTAACCCTCACGATGGACGTCCAGAAGCTCCCGTGCCTCACCCTGTGCCACCACCCGCGTACCGGCAACATCCCTTTTTCCCAATAGCTTCTATTAGAGAATGCTGAATTAACATATTGTGCTAACATACAAATGACTTTTAATATTTTGAAGCTCTGTACAACTTTCCTTCAGATCCCAAATCAACGTCAGTCTTCATATAGGACTTCACACCACCAAAGGACAGTATTAGAACTAGTTCATCCTCAGGCTCTCCAGCAAGGAAGATTTTTGGCCATGAATATTTTAAAATTAATTTTACTGCCCATTAGCTACTTTTTGAATAGTTGAATGAAAGTTCCAATTTACTATTTCCTTCCTATCATTAGTGTAGTACTTAATTTACAGTAAGGAGAGACAGAAGTATGAATTACTGGTACAGGCTTTTTATACCTCACAGAATTATCAAGTCATTCAAGTTTCAATAAATCAATATGGACTTCAATGAAGTCCTATCCCTGAATTCTTGGAAACTTGAATGATATGAAATATTGATGATTCAGAAAGATCCACAAAAATGAAGAAATGTCTTATTATTGTGAGATTTTTTTGTTAACTTTCAATTGTATTTCTTAAGAAACACAACTGCTTGCCATATTCAGCCTTAAACTTCAAATTTCAAATATTCTGAATAAAAACACCATATGTGTTGGGGTGTGCATTCAGAATTTTTAAAATGCAATATATGTTTCAATGATCAATACCAAAATATTTCAAGTGTTAGCAAGATATTTAAATAAAACAAGATGACAAAAAATGATCCTGACCACCAAAGAATGGCCTACACTACAAAAGGGTAAAGAACCATGTTCTGAAAGCGTGAATTGAAAAATAAGAAATATAAGCAAGTACTGCTTGATTACACCTAAATAGAACAATTATCATGATTGAGTGCATATTTTTCATTATTTTCCCTAGTTACCAAGTGGCGCTTTCACATTAAATGAAGACACATTAACTTTCTGTTATGCAAGATTTTTTTCTTTGTTCTTAGCTTTTAGAAGCATAATTTACTCAGCTCTCACTCGATTTCCTGACATTACACTCTCCTCAAACTCCCACTCACCCATACAAATTAAGTACATTATTAACCAAGCAGGTCTCTTCAGAGCAGAATTTAAGCGAAAATTTAGCTGCTTATCTGTTCATATTCACAGCATTTTATCCACAATTTACTAGTTATGAGTTGTCTTGGAGTCACTTTTCAAAGAGATTAAGCCACGTGAGCTGTATTCATGCTTTCAAACCAGATGAAATTAACAGAAACACCTTCTTGTACTAAAAGTTTAGCATTTGTTATGCTGCAGGTTAGCTTTGACTATTTTTTTTCCCCATGACAGGTAAGTAAACATCATGCTTTGAATTAAACCAGCTTGACTTTCACCATTTCTACAAAACACTGCAGAATTGCTAACATGTCCATCTCGTAATTTTTGTTTCGGGAATGTACAGAAATGTGGGTTTATTGTCCAGATCCAACTGAGAACACAGCATGCAATTTGATGTTGACAGCAGCACAGCAGCACAACTTAAAACAAGTTTGATTTCCGACACAAAATGTGCTTGATGTATGGTTTGAACATTAATAGATCAGATTGGAAGGGACCTTCTGGAGGTCATCTAGTCCATCCCCCCATCCCATGGGATTACCAGCTCTCAGGAACTTGCTGTGTCAGCTTCTGAAAATCTCTGAAGCAGATGGTTTCACCATCTCTGGGTAATCTCACTATGAATGCTTTGCCCACCCTCTTCACAGAGAATTTCTTCCCCTGCTGATCATGACTCTCAGGTCCCAATTTTCATTGTAGTTCCACACAGTGCATGAATGTCATCATTAGGAAACCTCTAAATACAAAGTTCTCCAGTGCAGACCTGTAACCCTAATGTTAAACTTTCCAATTCACAGTCAAGTCCCAGATATTGCACTTCCTTCTTCCTAAATCTGTTAGATAGGGTGCTAAAAACCCAGGTATGTTCTCAAATGATCTTTTAACACTAGAAACACAAACAATTCAAAATGAGTAGAAGAAAACATTTGTTCACCTTGTTTAAAATCAAAGCCTGTACAATAAACACTTTATCCATGTGCAACAACCGTGTGCAAAACTGAAAAACCTCTCATTTAGAATGCAAAGGTCAAGATACTCTCATAATTTGTATGAAAGATAACAACTTGCCTCTCCTTTCTCATTTGTTTGAAGCCTCCTCAATCCTGAAGAATTATTTCAGATTTGCCATCTGCATTTACAGATGGTAACCATTATCAGTGTAACCCCTGAATGGAATAAGACCTATACACAAAGTATATTAATAACATAACTGAAACTCAACAGTAAAAACATGGAAAATACAATTTAAAAAAACACACATTCTATTAAAGTTTCAGTATTCCACATAGCATAATTCAAGAAAACACTTTTTATACCAGGCTGATCAGACAAAAATCAGTTGTCACTCCAGGAGTTTCCATTCCTTTCCTGAAAACTAAGACACCTGAAGTTAAAGTTGTGTGAGCCATCACTCTGCTAGGTATGAAAACCATTTCTGCTTATGAGCTGTTAGAAATCGTAATACCAATTTATTTCCAGAAACTAAAAATAAAATTACTCAATTGCTCCACTAGTTCTAAATTATTACAGGTGTCTGTTTTTTGGTTCGTTTTTTTAGTGGGTTTTTTTTTTGTTTGTTTGGTTGGTTTGTTTTAACATAGAATTCAGCAAAATGTTTAAGAATAGTAAAGTGAAAACTAGAAAAAAATTGTTTTCCTACTTAGCCTCTAGAACACATTATCAAAATAGAATCAGCACCAGCACTGCTAGGAGGCTTTGGTTCACATTTTCCTGACAAGTACATAGGAACAGTGTTCCAGCACTGGCAAACCAGAACTCCTGTACAATGTATGAACCTTATGTAAGTGTTCTCACAGATTGTAGGTGGTTGCTATCTTCTTAACTGCTGAAGACAAACGCTCCTTTTATTTTTAAACATTTTATCTTCAAAAGACAAAATGTATTTCCTTGGAAAAATCTTATAATGGGGGGGAAATACATACTTCCCTGCCGCTTAAGACACCAGAACTGGTATTTAATTTGGCACAAGCTCTGAAATCTGGATGACAGTTCAGTAGTAAATCAGCTTTTATTTTAGCAATCTGCTGGAAAATAACAGTTAAAGAATCACAATGCATTCAAGCTTTGGCCAAGTCAACTGGCTGACATTAATACTGCTCACTCACTCACACCTGCAAGGTGCCTGGGTCACTGTACCCAGTACAGTACTGAATTGAATGAAAGTCATCAGATATTACCAATACCAGCTCCAGGATTTACAGAACCATGGTGTGAACATGAGTCTGGAAAAGACTTGGAGATCTGTGCAGTGGGAACAGTGATTTCTGACACTGAGGCCAATAAGCACTTTGGGGGTTGTTTTAGTTTTAAATATTCCTTCTATTTGAGCAGTGGGCATTCATGATTTGTACCTGAGAGAATGTGAGAAGTCACAATCTGAGACCGACCTGGCAATTCCCCTTCCCCTTTCATGAAGAAGGGTAAAGACTGTGCTTTCAGAATGCAGCAGACCCTACCGGTGCCTACACAAGCCTACAGCAAACTTCCTTCCTAGGCTACAAATTAGTCCAGTCCAGTGGTCAGACCCTTGGAATGCTCAGTCTCTCTTTTCTTCCAAGAATCAACACACATCAGGTTTGAACATAAACAAAGTAGTCGGGAACATTCAGCTCACTGAACAGTCCGGGAACTGGAAGCTACGGGAGTCACTTCCCGGAGACGAGCCCAGGGGATGGAACACCCAGTCCAAGGAGAGGAAGAGTTGCAAAGTTTCAAACGACGGCTCCTCTCGGCATGCTGCCTATCAGCAAGGGGTAAAGAGAAATTCAGAAACAAATCATGGGCTTGGCTGCAATCTATCTCCACCAGCTCCTGGAGCAACACCAAAGAGAGGCTGTGCTCCAAAGAGGGTGACGCTCCTCAGCCCAGCCACAGCAGCTGCCGGAGCTCAGAAATGCAGCAAGGGCTGTGGGGGACAAGCCCCAACTGGGCAGGCACAGCCTCACCCCTGCTGTGCTGACACCATCTTACTACAGCACATGAACTTTGACGTGAAAACTGGCATTCAGTTGCCATATTGAAATAAAAACTTCATTCTTACAGTTAAAACACAGTGTCAATAAACTTAATTAATTAAGTTTTGTGGTCAAATACAGGGCAACAATTATTTAAATCATACAGCTATTTTTATTTTAATTATACAAAAGCAGAAAAAGATGAGAAATAGCAGCTGACTAACTATGAGTAATCACCTTGGATTATGCATTATGAGAAACTCAGTATTACTATTCATTTCTTTAAAAAACAGTGTGCAGAAGTATCTGACAAAACTGAGGTCCTGTCACGCTTCTCACTGTTCTAGTACCTGGAATAACATGTTTCTTCCAGGAGCACAGAGTCCTCCTGGACTGGGCTGGTCAATACTGCAGAAAAATGTCCACTTTTATCAAATAACTGAGATTAAACTTTCGTAACTGTCTGTTCTAGCTAAATTAATACCATTGAACAGACTCCAAAAGACC